AAATGTTTATACATACTGTCTCATTTCCTTACCTTAGAGTCACCCTTGTATTCACTCTTGGGCAGTGTCTTTCCCTCACCACTTCACAAAGGATAATTTTTAAAAGGATGCCAATAATATACAAGCTACCAAATGGATATATCTCTTGTCCATTCATGACACCATTGCCCAGCTAAAACAAACAGTTAAATACTAACTCTTTATTGAAAAACCTGTCTTTAACTTATGTAATGTTCCATGGCATTTCCTTCTCCTTCTGTAATTGCCCTTTTGACTCTGTCTCTGTCTCTCTTTTTGACTTCTTTTACTCTTTACAACTTTGAAATGTCAGTATTCTCCTGGCTCAGCCCTGCATTGTGTGATCTTTATTCTCCATTCATTTTCCTTTCTGTCTGTCTTCATAGAGTTTTTAGAATTAGTCTAAATACCACCTGTATGATCATGACTCCACGTTTAAATTGCTATGTAAATAGTTCGGATATCTTGATTTTTTTCCTTCTAGCCTTTACCTCTTTCTTAGCAAATGGTTTCACAACTTACCTACATGTTTGATCAAGTCAGAGCCTAAAATTCATATTTTATTTCTCTTCATCCCTCATTCTCTGTAATCATTACTAATTAGCATGTCTTGTCAGTCCTCTCTCCAAAAATCTATCTTGGTCTATTTCTTTAATCTCCATGATTGCTAGAGTAATAGTACCTCATTTATCTCTTGTCTATACTCCCCTATTGTTGTTCTAAGTGAGCTTCCAGTTTGCCCTCTTCCACTAGCCATATATCTTCCAGCCAATCTTATTAAAAGTTAAAATGTTTGTGTCAGTTCCCACTTAAGAAGCATTAAAATTGTTTCTCTTCATATACATTTCCTGGAGTCAAATCCTGGCTTTACCACTTTATAGCTGTAGAACCTTAGACAACTGCTTAATTCCTCTCTGGTGTAATATGTGCTAGTAAAGTTAAAGTGGATAATTCATATAAAGTATTTGTAAGTGTGATTGACTCTCAATAAACATTCACATTTATAATTATTTTTATATGGTCTACAGAGCCCTGTGTGATCAGACTTCTGTGGGCTTAAGATCTCAAGCTAAACACCGAAGAATGTCTCTCCTAATAGTGATTTTCTTCAGAGTTGAGTTCTCCTTCAGGTTTTCTCTACCTCAACCACTTGCTTATTTGCTTTATACTACTTATCATCAACTCTAATTATGTTTTTCTTTTGTTTGTTGCCTGTCCCCTCCCGTAGACAGGAAGCTCCATGGAGAGGGACCATGCTTAGGGTGTTCACCATTTAACTTTAGTACCTAGCACACAGTTCTTGCCCCATAGTAGGAATTTATTATATATTTGTTGATAAAATCATTAATGAATCTCACATTCTTAGCAAGATCTTTGGAGATTTACCTCTGGTCAGTTTTTGATTCTGATTCAGTTGGACTTTGAATGAAATACAACATTTATTTATAATGCTATAATCTATTTTTCATGTCATGAGGGAGACTTTTCTAAACTCCTCCCTTAAAATTTCATGTGTAGAAACTAAATTGGGCAAGGGAACAAGATTGTGATAATGGAATTTTTTTGGTTCATAACATAGCATTTCTCATATTTTAATACTGCATTTTCAGTATGTAGAATAATTTCAGCTCTCAAAAAGGGAAAATTTGAAGCATGATATTATATAGTACTGATATGATCTACACTGGTGTTTCACCTTGGATGCCATCCAAAGGGTATTTGTTCCTGAAGTACCTGAAAGGCCTTCAAACACTCTTACAGAATGAATACTAAAGATAGCATTATATAGAGCTATATTTCAATTAGAGTTGAATTATGTATGATAAGAGAAAAAAAGCTATTATTATTAGGTTGTTATTTTAAATGTTTTCCTGGTTTCAAATATTTTTCTACTCAACAGACAAATAAATGGAAGGAGTATACCTAATAAAAAGAGGAAGTTTTTCTTCCTGATCACAGTAATATCAAGAGTTGCTCATAATTTTTCTTTGCTTCTAACATGCAAAACTTCTTTAGAGATACAATCCAGTGTATAAAGCTTTAAATAGAAGTTTTATATATCTTTTTTACCTTTCATTTTCAGTGTTTATAATGCATTTGGCAATTCAGTTTACTGTTTTGGTTAGATCCTTCTCATATAATTATTTTCTTTAGAACAAAAAATATTTTCAACTAGAGAAAGGGAATTTTTAGTGTATACCTTATTATTACTGAATTCAGTCATCTTAGGGTTGACCTTTGTCTCATTTGTCACATAACTGGTTATATAACCAAACTTTATTAATGTTCCAGTTTCTCAACAAGATAAAATGAAGATTTTTAAAGTTTACAGGTTTTTTTTAAGTCTTTGAAAGTGTTGATGACAAGAATCAGACTTTCATTCAAAATTGTTGATATGTTGATTTAAGAGAATAAAAATTAATTTTCTTAATAGCATCTGATTCTTTAATACATGTGAATGATGTCTTTGATTAAATGATAAAAATATCTTCTTCAGATCACTTCGTTATTCTTATGAATACTGACTTAAGTTACTTTTAAAAAGTTATCTCAAACTTAGAAGTGTATTTTCTGAAAAATACTTTTTTTTAGCCCACTCTAACAATGGAGATGTCCAGCATACAAGAAACAATTCATTTGTGGGATTTTTTTTTAAGGAGAGAGAGAAAGTGTGCATGCCAGCATGAGGACGAATGCAGGTGAGGGGAGGGTAGGGCAGAGGGAGAGAGAGAGAGAGAATCCCAAGCAGGCTCCATGCCCAGAAGCATGCTGCCCCATGCTGGGCTCCATCTCATAACCCTGAGATCATGATCTGAGCTGAAATCAAGAGTTAGGTGCTTAACCAGCTGGGCCATCCAGGCACCCCTGGACAACTCTTTAGCTAGCACTTCCTCTTCCATTTTTTCTCCCATACCCTTTATTTCAGTTAAGACTCTTACAATAAATGAGATCTGTACAACATTACACTTCAGGTATGATTTTATTTGAGTGGAATTATTTCACATGTAACAAGTGTTTCACTTATATTGTTTAACCTCAAAAATTATTAGTAAAACTAAAACCAAAAAAATTCATCAAAACAATATTATATACACATATGTAAGATCTTTAGACTAAGAAATCTCTAAAATTGGTTAGATTTGTGTGTGTATTTGATATTCTTCAACAGTCCCTAAATCAATTTTGACATTAGGAAGCAAGCAGAAATTGTTTTGATCTGATTTTTAGAATGTACTTTTAAAACATGGTGGACTAAAGATGGAGGGAAAAAAAAGTAGACCTTTTCTTATATAGAGAAATACTTGGAATAATGGGTGATTCCCAGTATCAAAGACTGGACTTTTTTCTAAGCCACGTATCTTGTAGAATTTGGGGATCTAGAGCCATTATAATCATAGTTCTTCTAGGAGTGAAAATGCTCTTTCAACAGCCAGTTTAGCTATTGGGACAGTGACAGAATCTCAGGTATATAGATTTATTTAAATATCTTTGTGTTTTGTGGAATATCTTAGTTAAATATATAGAAATTCCTTCCATGTATTTTATTAATCTTTGTCAGACTGAAAGTTTTTAGTTTTTCTCTTTTTTGTATAAGTCAATAAAAACAGTTCCCATATTTCCAAGGAAACAGAAGGCATCTATTCCAAGCTAGACTTCCCACAGTATTTATTTGTAGCCTTATATCTGACAGCAGGTAGAATAGTGTTCTCTTATTTTCCTTTGTACTTCTTATTCATTTAAAATTCCTTATGAACTATAACATAGGTTAAATTCTCTTTAAATATTTTTTATAGTGGTATGGGGGTTTTTTTGCTTTGAATTTTTTTATTGTGCTATGGTATTGTTTAATGGAAATATATAGAACTTAAAGTTAGAAGAATTAGGTTTCTTCCCTAAGTAATTTATCTGCACGTGCTTGGGCAAATTGTTTTAACCTAATTCTTAACTTTTCTTGATGATAAATTTGAAACTAATGATAGCTGTTTCCACCTTTGCTTAATGGGGTTTTTGAGCAAGTATCAAATGGTGATAGTGTTTATAAAAGTATTTTTAAACTGTGAGTTATGTAAAATTGGCAGTGGGATTATGAGCATATTAAAATCTTTTTTTGCCATAAAGACTAAGACAAATTTCATTTACTAAAATGTTTTCCTTTAATTAGCGGGGTCTTACAGAGTGGCATCCACTGTCTATATCTAATATAAATAGATATAACAATTAAATGATCCCTGCTTACTGAACGTAAACTAGCTTTTGCGCAGTATTAAGGAAAGTAAATACAGTGATCTTACATTCTTTTGTATGGAAAAATACCTTTTGGCTCCTATCATGATATTTTCTCAAAATATTTAAGTATATTAACATAAAAATTTTAGTATTTTAACAACTAGCAATAACTGAAACAGAAAGCTTTATAGGAATTAACACTGATAGATTCATATTCATATTTTTAAGAGATAATTAACACTTCTTTTTCATTCACAGTCACCCTGCTAGCCCATTAGCATTGTAGTGCTAAAGGTTAGCATGAATTACAAGTGATCACATCTTTCTTGTTCTTCATTTAATTAATAATCCTTGGAATTACATAAAAAATAATGTGTGTTTGTGTTTGTTCAGTGTATACCACAAAAGTCTACATAGTTTCAAAAAGAGAGCAGTATAAATGACTGTGAATTTGCCACTTTTCAAATTACATTCATATTGCTTCCCTATTAGGGAAAAGTTGTAGACAGTCTTGGCCCATTGAAAGTCACTTTAGGGATTTTAAGAGAAGTGGAAATGCTTAGAATGATTTTTTTGTTGTTGTTGTTATGCTGGCATTTTTTCCCCCTAAGTATCTACAAGAATTGGGTGATCCAGATAGTTTTTATTTTGATAATTAAAATTTAGTTCTTTGTACTTTAGCTTGGTCTCTAATTTCTATAGATGAAACTTCAGTGTGCTTTTAATATTTATGTATTTACCCATTTCATTTTTAGGCGATTTTATGAAGATGGAGCAATTGTCTTAGGTGAGGAAGCAAATATGCTTGCTGGCATGCTGCTTGGACTAAATGCTATTGATTTCAGGTACTTAATCTAAATGTATTCAGTTTTTAAGTTATTGGACGTCATAATAGTTTCTACTTAGGTTTTTTTTCTTGGTTTGCTACTAAGTAGAGCACACAACTGGATATTGATATTTAACTCGTGTTCATGTTCCTTATCCAGCTACATCAGCTTTCTGACTGGGTTTGCTCTAAGAAGACTCTCAGGTTAAGGAGTTAACTGACATGTTTGCTTACTAGCTTGGGCAAAACAATCCTAGACGGCATTTCCCCAGCAGAAAAATTATATACCCTGGTAGCACTGGAGGAAATTTTTGGATCTTATCTCTTAGTATTTTTTTAGCTACTGCTTTAAAATAAAAAAGGATGAACTAAAAGTAGAATCAAAGCATGAAAGATTTTCATTACCTCATGTATTGAAATAAAAAAGATCCTGGCATATCTCGGGTATCTTATGTTTGTATTATGAATCTAGACCATCAAAAATATTGTTCATATTTGCTTTTGTTATTATCAACATGATGAATTGATTTCAGACTAAGATTGTAATTACTAAAAATGTAAATGTAAGTTTTTCATAGATTTATGGGAATATCTTTTTGCATTTCTTTAGCTGATCCAAGATTTTACGTTATGCTAAAAGTAAAAGGTTTGTTTATAACAAGAACTCAAACATAAGAATGATGGAAATATTATAATTCTTTTGAAAAATATCACTTAAAAATTCAAGAATATCAACAAAATAAGTATAACATTTAAATGAAAATCTTCTCTTAATCTTGAATCAGAAAATAATGCTGTTCATTTCCACTGACATTACTGTTTTTTAGTAAATCATTTCCTTTTCAAAATACTTTCATTTTGTCAGTATAATTTTCCCCTATTTATGATTTAATAAAGCATATTCAGTTATTAGCTTAATTGTTCAGAATATGAGCATGATAGATGCGATATAGAGCTTTTTTTTTTATCCTAAATGTGTTTCTTTTTCACCTGTCATGCTGCTGAAAGCAAATCTCTTAAAGATACATTAGTAATAGTATTGTAAATGAAGGAAAGCTCTTATAAAGTGAGGCCACTTCTGTTCACTCCTCATTCAAGTATGAAAAAGTACATACATGCCCTTGATATTAACATATTAGAATGGTATTTCAACAAGCAAACTTACCAAAGAAACCAGAAGGTGGGAGTTCATAGATGAATTTGTTTTTTTAAAAGATCAACCTACATCTTATAATTATTCTTATTAATGTTCCCAGAAGATGTACTTTTTTCTTCCCATAAGAGTAATAAAACTAAACGCCTTTTTTAAAAATTGTTATTATCCAATTGGATATATCATCATACAAAACAAAGATGACTAGTTTGGGAGACCAAGAGATGTAGAGTTTCTTTACTGGCTTTGAGACTCCCAGTATGACTTTGGGCAAATCTCAACCTTTCCTGTTGCCATGTCCTCAAAAAGGATTGACTAAAGATTAAAGGGGTTTTACAGTGAGATACCAACTCACACCAGTCAGAGTGGCTGAAATTAACAAGTCAGGAAACGACAGGTGTTGGCGAGGATGCAGAGAAAGGGGAACCCTCCTACACTGTTGGTGGGAATGCAAACTGGTGCAGCCACTCTGGAAAACAACATGGAGGTTCCTCAAAAAGAAGAAAATAGAGCTACCCTATGACCTAGCAATTGCACTACTAGGTATTTACCCTAAAGATACAAAGGCGGTGATCCAAAGAAACACGTGAACCCGAATGTTTATGTCCACAATAGCCAAACTATGGAAAGAGCCCAGATGTCCATCAACAGATGAATGGATAAAGACGAAGTGGTATACACACACACACACACACTCTCACACACACACTCTCACACACAGAATACTATGCAGCCATCAAAAATACCCAAAATCTTGCCATTTGCAACAATGTGGATGGAACTAGAGGGTATTATGCTAAGCGAGATAAGTCAGAGAAAAACAATTATCATATGATCTCACTGATTTGAGGAATTTGAGAAACAAGACAGAGGATCATAGGGGAAGGGAGGGAAAAATGAAGCAATATGAAACCAAAGGGGGAGACAAACCATAAGAGCCTCTTAATCTCAGGAAACAGGGTTGCTGGAGCGGTCGAGGGGGTTGGAGGGATGGGTAGCTCAGTGATTAATATTACAGTGGTTGGGGGTATGTGAATTGTGTAAGACTGATGAATCACATATCTGTAACCCTGAAACAAATAATACATTATGTTAATTTTTTTTAAAGGGAAAAAAATAAAAATACAGGAAAATAAAGAATAATTAAAAAAAGATTAAAGGAGTTTTTTTGTTGTTGTTGTTGTTTTTTTAGCATTCTTTTTAGGTCTAACATCCAAGCCCTTTCACCTATTCAGATAGTTTAGAAAACTTTCATTTTTCCAATTAGACCTTTTGAAGAGTTAGTTGGTGTCACATTAGAGTTTGTATAAAATGTGAACAAGTCTTCATTTGGAAATCCTCTAATGATGTCTTAAAATCCAGTGAAAACCAAGGTAGTGTCCGATAAATAATGTTTGAACAAATTTCTCAGAAAGTTTTTCTTTGGCATGATATATTTATATTAAAGTCTATTAACTTGTGCAATCCTTTGTCATTGGTAGTGAACGTAGAGTATCTTTATTAAGATGTTTATTTGTAACAGGTAACTTATGAATTAAATATAAATTAAAAAATTTACCTGCAATTTGATGAAACACATGTCTTTAACAAGAGATTGTTTATAATACTTAACATTAATTTAAAAGTTAATGTATTATGACATATTTATTGTCTCTTGTCTTAGCTTCTGCCTCAAGGGAGAAGGATTGGATGGAAACTTTCCTGCCGTAATAGATTACACACCATATTTGAAATTTACCCAAAGGTATTTGACGTTTTGAAATATGTTATTGAAATCTTAATTTATAGTTGAATATCTTGTGTAATATATTGATTAAAATTGCTTTTTGAGGGGGGTACTTGGGTTGCTCAGAGGGTTAAGCCTCTGCCTTTAGCTCAGGTCATGATCTCTGGGTCCTGGGATCAAGCCCCATATAGGGCTCTCCGCTCAGTGGGGAGCCTGCTTCCCCCCCACCCTGCCTGCCTCTCTGCCTACTTGTGATCTCTCTCTATATATATCTGTGTCAAATAAATAAATAAAGTCTTTTAAAAAATAAATATAATTGCTTTTTTTGTAATATTACTTTCTTTAAAATTTTTTTTAAGATTTTATTTATTATTTGACAGACAGTGAGAGTGGGAACACAAGCAGGGGGAGTGGGAGAGGGAGAAGCAGGCTTCCTGCTAAGCAGGGACCCCAATGTGGGGCTTGATCCCAGGACCCTGGGATCATGACCTGAGCCAAAGGCAGACACTTAACGACTGAGCCACCCAAGCCCCCCAATGTTTTTTTAAATTTAAATTCAATTAGCCAACATAAAGTACATCATTAGTTTTTGGTGTAGTGTTCAATGATTCATTAGTTGGAGGGCACGTGGTACGATGAGAACTGGTTGTTATATGCAAGTAATACTACTTTTGATTCTGCTTTGCATAATTATTTTAAGTGTTGGATCTTCTGCATGTTCGAACTTTGTAGATGTGATATATCAGTGAAGTGATGCTAGCTCAGTGCTTCGAGATGATTGTTGGAGTTTAAAACATTGATAAGGCAGGGTCGCCTGGGTGGCTCAGTTGGTTAAGTGGCTGCCTTCCGCTCAGGTCATGGTCCCAGCATCCTGGGATTGAGTCCCATATCAGGCTCCTTGCTCAGCAGGAAGCCTGTTTCTCCCTCTGCCTGCCACTCTGTCTGCCTGTGCTCACTCTCTCTGACCAAAAAAAAAAAAAAAAAAAAGTTAAAGAACATTGATAAGGCATAGGCTTTTTTATTTTAGCATTGATTTTCTTTTTATTTCTTTTTTTCTTTTTCTTTTTTGTTTTTAATTTTTTTAAATTGTGTTATGTTAGTCACCATACAATATACCTCATTAGTTTTTGATGTCGTGTTCCAAGATTCATTGTTTACATATAACACCCAGTTCTCCATGCAGTGTGTACCCTCCTGAATACCCATCACCAGGCTCACCCATCCTCTCACCCCTCTCCCCTCTAAAACCTTCAGTTTATTTCTGAGTCCACAGTCCCTTGTGGTTCTTCCTCCCCCTCCAATTCCCTCCCCCTTCACTTTTTCTTTCCTTCTCCTAATGTCCTCCATTAATGTCCTCCATGTTCCTTATGTTCCACAAGTAAGTAAAACCATATGATAATTGACTTTCCCTGCTTGACTTATTTCACTCAGCATAATCTTTTCCAGTCCCATCCATGCTGATGCAAAAGTTGGGTATTCATCATTTCTGATGGCTGAGTAATATTCCATTGTATATATGGACCACATCTTCTTTACCCATTCATCTGTTGAAAGACTTTCATCTGTTGACTTTTTCCACAGTTGGGCTATTGTGGACATTGCTGCTATGAACATTGGGGTACATATGGTCTTTCTTTTCACTCCATCTGTATCTTCAGGGTAAATACCCAGTAGTGCAATTGTCAGGTCATAGGGTAACTCTATTTTTAATTTTTTGAGGAATCACCACACCGTTCTCCAAAGTGGCTGCACCAACTTGCATTCCCACCAACAGTATAAGAGGGTTCCCCTTTCTCCACATCCTCTCCAACATTTGTTGTTTCTTGCCTTATTAATTTTTGCCATTCTAACTGGTGTAAGGTGGTATCTCAATGTGGTTTTGATTTTAATTTCCCTGATGGTTAATGATGATGAACATTTTTTTCATGTATCTGATAGCCATTTGTATATCTTCATTAGAGAAGTGCCTGTTCATGTCTTCTGTCCATTCTTTACTTGATTATCTGGTTTTTGGGTGTTGAGTTTGAGAATTTCTTTATAGATCTTGGATATCAGCCCTTTGTCTGTAGTGTCATTTGCAAATATCTTTTCCATTCCGTGGGTTGCCTCTTTGGTTTGTTGACAGTTTTCCTTTGCTGTGCAGAAGCTTTTGATCTTGGTGAAGTCCCAAAAGTTCATTTTTGCTTTTGTTTCCTTTGCCTTTTGAGACATGTCTTGAAAGAAGTTGCTGTGGCCGATGTCAAAGAGGTTACTGCCTATGTTCTCCTATAGGATTTTGATGGATTCCTGTCTGACATTGAGGTCTTTCATCCATGTTGAGTTTATTTTTGTGTATGGTGTAAGAGAATGGTCCAGTTTCATTCTTCTGTACATAGCTGTCCAATTTTCCCAGCACCATTTATTGAAGAAACTGTCTTTTTTCCACTGGATGTTTTTTCCTGCTTTGCCAAAGATTGTTTAGATTGCCAAAGATTGATAGAGTTGAGGGTCCATATCTGCTGTCTCTATTCTGTTCCATTGGTCTATGTATCTGTTTTTGTGCCAGTACCATGCTGTCTTGGTGATCACAGCTTTGTAATAAAGCTTGAAATGAGGCAATGTGAAACCCCCAGCTTTGTTTTTCTTTTTCAGCATTTCCTTGGTGATTCAGGGTCTTTTCTGGTTCCATACAAATTTTAGGATTGTTTGTTCCAGCACTCTAAAAAATGCCAATGGTATTTTGATCGGGATGGTGTTAAAGTATAGATTGTTCTGAGCAGCATACACATTTTAACAATGTTTATTCTTGCAGTCCATGAGTATGGAATGTTTTCCCATCTTTTTGGGTCTTCCTCAGTTTCATTCATGAGTGACCAGTAGTTCCTAGAGTATAGATCCTTTACCTCTTTGGTTAGGTTTATTCCAAGGTATCTTATGGTTTTTAGTGCTATTGTAAATAGAATCAATTCTCTAATTTCCTTTTCTACAGTTTCATTGTTAGTGTAACTAAAAAGCAACTGATTTTTGTGTAAAACTGCTTTTATTTCAGTATCAGAAATCATTGAAAAATAAAAACTTCATTTACATCTTTAGTGTTTATGTAAATACACTTTTTACATAATTGTAATTGCAGCATTAAGTATAGTTTTTAGAAAACAGCTTGTATTTCTGTTGCTATAGTCATTATAATGATAACTTTAATAGCTCTTTTATAGTCCATTGAGAGTTCAAAACTGAAATCCATCATTCAGATTGTTCTCCATTTTCTCTCCATTATAAAGGAAAGAATAATGAACATTTTGTGCAAATCAATTTTCTTTTTGTTTCCACTGTGAATTTATAGTTACTTAGGCAAAGACAATGAAATTTTTTACGGCCCTTGAGGTGTGTCTATATAAAAGAGTTGTACCAATTTATCCTACTACCAGGATTTTATGAGAGTTAAGAATTTCCTACAATCTCATCAGCATTGAAAATTAATCAGATGAAATCTATAGATTTTTTTGAAAGTCTACTTGTAGAATTGGCTTCCTAAATAGAATGATCATCTTTATATACTTTAAAAATGTTATGGTAAGGCCAGAGCTGTAAGGGAAACAGAGAGTAATAATGTATATGTGTAATATATGTACACACACACACTCATACACACACACACACACACACACACATACACACACACATACACACACACTGAAGATGCATTTATTAAGGACCTAATGTAGGAAAGAAACTTTCCTAACTACCAGAGATACATAGATTTCAAGAATGTAGATGCTTCATGAAATTCTGAAAAAGAGTATAGTCCTTGTCCCCAGGATAATCATCTAGTGAGAGAAGTCACTATTGGAGAGAGAGGACTGTGACGATACTCAGGTAGTGAGGGAGAAGTAACACAGTATTATGGTACCAAGATTTCTAACTTGAATAAATGGATCACTTGGGAAAAGGAATAATTCTAGTACATTCAATCTAAAAAAAATTTACAGCAAGAATTTTTGAACAGGCATAAAATTATACTCTTTGGGACATAATAGATTATAGAACATTCTATGAGGATAAAAACAGTTCAAAAATAATACTTGTAAAAAGAATAGTGATGATACTTATTGAATGCTTTCTGTATATCAGGCATTGTTCAAAGTGCTTTCCTTCTGTTAACCTATTTAATCCTCGAAAGCCAGTGACATAGGCACTACTAAATTTTATAAATGAGAAAACTGAAATGCAGGGAGGTTAAATAACTTGTCCATAGTCATACACACAGGTCTCGAATTAAAGAACAAGATGGCAGCTGGACATTAGGGGTTTGGCCATTAACATGTAGGTAGAAAGGCTATTTTTAATGATTTAGGAAGTGACTTAAAAATATAAAGATAAATGCAAATACTAATTTTTCTCTCCTACTCACATAAGAGACTGTAGTAATTATTACAACACTTTACAATAATGAAACCTTCTCAACTGGTCCCCTCAGAATTTGATGATATATGAATATATATGAATTTGATGATATATGCTCTGTGTCTCTAACTTGCTTAACCACCTTTTGTGTGAATTTGTGTGCAACTTCCTCTTTCTCTGATGCACTAATCCTAACATGTATGTATCACTTTCTCTCCTTTATATACTGAGGGATTTCTACTATCTTAAAAAAGAATAATAAAATGAGAAGGGAAATACCAGTTTAACCTAGTCATAAGCATGTTTGCATTACTGACCATGGGAGATCTTCTTTTCAGAAAGATTTAAACTATTCTGATTGTAATAAAGAAATAACATTTTACTTTTTTTTTTAAAGATTTTATTTATTTATTTGACAGAGAGAGAGCACAAGCACAAGCAGGGGGAGTGGCAGGCAGAGGGAGAGGGAGAAGCAGGCTCCCCGCTGAGCAGAGTGCTAGACGTGGGGCTCAATCCCACGTCTGGGATCCCATGTCTGGGATCTTGACTTGAACTGAAGACAGATGCTTAACCGACTGAGCCATCCAGGTGCCCCAAGAACCAGTATTTTAAACATTCGTTTGCTTCCATGAAAT